AAAAAAAAAAAAAAAAAAAAAAAAAGCAACCAGTAGGCTTATTTTTGTCGTAAGCCATAAGTCATGTGTTTGTTTGTAGTCAGAGTGAACGTAGACTAAAAGCCAAGTCAGTCAGATGTTTCTTGGGTATTGGATTTCGCTACAATAGGAGTAAGTCAATAATAGTCGACACGAAATTAAAAGTTTGAAACGTAATAAGCTGTTATCTATATTTAAAAGAAATCTTCACATGGTTAAATTAAGTCGTTGAGCAATGACCTCATGTTTTTACGTCATTCCTTAGGGTCGAATGACTCTACGAAGGAAGTGTTTTCATAATATGGAACGAACGTAACTCTAGACTTTTAGATGATCAAAGGGCATTAGACTGTGTACTTGATGAGATATTGTTGTCGTTATGCCAGTTTCATGATACTTTTTTTGGCTAAAAATGCAGTAAAAAGTGATTTGTTTCATCCCTCCGACGTCACAGGCTGTTTTCTAAGTATACTTTGAGGCTCTAGTTGTCCCTTTATTCAGCATCAACAATAATGAAACAAGTTAGACGGATGTTTCTTGCGTGGCTGCAAAGTAATTAGCAGGTATCCAATATTTCCCAATCACATTAGATAAAGAACTATTATGTAGCATCCATGTTTTGCTTGTGATAATTCGAGAAGTCAACTATGTATATTCTGTCAGAATATGCCAATTAGAATACGCGTTTATTTGTAGCCGGAACAAAAGAACTTTAAAAGCCAAACTCAGACAGATTGTTCATAGTATTTCATACTGGTGGCGTTTTCAGTCCATTCACGATCAGAGTACAAATCAAAAATTGGAATTTTCTTTCTACCTTTGGTTTACGGTAAAAATGACCTTTGTTTACCAAAAAAATAAAACTGTAAACATGGATAGGCTACGGTGGTCGCATAAGTTTTAAAGCCCGTCAACGAAGCACTCAAACACTGAATGAAAAAAGTGCGATCACAGCACGTCAATAAAATATTACTCGTAAAGCTTCCATAAAATGTTGTTGAGATAAGGAAGAATTGGAGCTCAACGGCAGCAAAACAACACAAATGCTTCTCTAGTTACATATTCGAGCCGGCACCTCTTGACGTTTAAGGAACCGGCAAATATACAGCAGAACCAATCACTGGCTAAGCCATTAATGTGCGTTTGTTGTATATTTTTGTAGCGGACTTACATAGACATTTGTCGCTGTCGTTAATGAAAGCCAACTTAGACAGATGTTGCTTGCGTGGTTGGAAAATAAAGCTGACCAAAAATAGCATTTATGTAATATTTTCCGCTCTCATAAGAAAAAGAGCAATCATGAAGCATTCATGATCTGCTTGTTAAAAGGAGAAAAAAGGAAACAGAAGGCTTTTTTCTCTCAGAATATGCCAATTAGAAAATAGGTTCGTTTATGGACGGAGTGTTTTNCACTGAGTAAGAATAATGAACACAATTCTGTTTCCAATTTTACGATGCGTTCGGCATAATCAAATAAACAGCAGCTGTCATAATTAATGTTGACCGGAAGTTACAGCATCGATTACTGAGTGTTTCAAATGAAGCACAAATATATGAATGGGAAAGTTTTCTTGGTTTTGAAAAATGCTAATTTTATTTTCCCTGTAATACATTTTCTTAAGAAAAACTTGTTCAATTTTGCATGTGCGCATTTTGTGTTTCTTTGCCTGTCTTATGACATTTTCCCGTCTCACGGAAAAAGATGTTTTTCATCATGTCACGAGCATGGGACAGAAAAAATGGTGATGTTGAGTCGAACTTCAGACCTTCAAGTCCATATGAGGACTCAGAATTTTTTTTCTTTGTCCCGCACTCGTGACTAGGGAAAAGAGCTTCCTCTTTTTTTACCGAGCTGAAAAATTACCACTTTTCTTATTCTGTTCACAAACTTAAAATGGCTACCAGCCATCGACTGATAGCGGGAAATTCAACATCAATATTTAATATATCACTACCGTGCTTAAGTGTAATCTTTTCCCCACACATGTACTCTATGGGTATTTAAAAGTAACCTCACAATACAAGACCATCACTCGGACTCCTACAAATATTTTGTTGAATTTACGAATGTCATACGAGGGGTCACATGATGCAGACCCGACTTGTATTTGCATTTGCTCTTAACAGTAATTTGATAATAACTTATAAAAATTTTAAGAAGCTATTGACTGAGTGGGAGGGCAGGAGGGGAAAATATTTTGCTGGAGTTCTGTAGGTCATGAACGTCCCTGCGTCATAAACATCAGTAAGCAATTTATCATATGACTACTAAGTGCTGGAAATTTCGAAATATTCTTTTTAACTTAGATAAGACGCGATAGACTGGCGCGCGCAGGAAAACCGCAAAAAC